GACTCATGTAGGACATTGTTGTGGGATCCAGAACCTCAGCTGGATTCCTTGGTCTTAGTGTGTGGACAGATTCCCTGCACTCTTTTATATATTGTTCTTTGGGTGACCATTATAAATAATCATATAAAGTATGTGTCCTGTATTATATTGTTCCCCTTGCAAAAATAAGCCCCAAGCCAACACACCACCCAAGCGAAGCTGTCTGAAAGCTGAGACGCAAGCACCAATCTCTTGCTGGCCTTCCAGGCAGGAGAGGGAAGATCACTGACTTTGGAATTATCCCTTTCTGTTCTGATGCAGCCAGGCTCCTCACAAGTTCAATAACTTTTTAGAAGGACATGGACTAAATAAGGCTCCTCACAAGTTCAATAACTTTTTAGAAGGACATGGACTAAATAGAGAAGAAGAGTAATTACAACATCAAAAAACCTGAAAAGTGCTAAAGAGATGGGCAGGGAAGATACAAGCTTTCATCCTCGAAAAGCAGCTCTGAGTCTTTGAAGGGTGTCTCGGGTCAGGAAATTGTATGCATTAATAAGTAAATCTTACTGCCTCACGGTTGTGTGAGTTGTGTGAAGTCAGACAGTGTGGAAGCCACAAAGCATTTTGTGCAATGTGCTGTGAATGGAGAAAATTCTTAGTTCAAACGACCCCCAAGTAGTAACTTGCACTATGTAAACCAAACTCCTCTGCGATGAGTTCAATCAACAAGGCACATGGGACCAGGAAAATTCCTGGTGATGCAGTTGTTTGCCTGTTTTATGGTTCATCACGTATACTTAGAATAGAGTCAGACGTATAGTAAATATTCTACAAAGTGAAAAGATGGGTCATAGCTATTAAATAATACTTCTCTGGAGAGAAGACTCAGGTTTAAAGAAGAAAGCTAAGTTTTCTTCTCAGTACATTTTTATGTAAACCGGTTATATTCGCATAGGATAAATGTATGACCAACTTAATATCAGACAATAAGCCTATGAATGACAGACGTTTGCCTTCTTGGGCTGACATTTAGAATTTTGAATGGGTATATGGCCATGCTGCCTGGCCCAGAAAATCCCAGAGGGGATTAAGAGAGTGAGATGAGGGAGGAGTAACTAACCAGACCCTACTTTACTGTTTTCCAAACTACCCAGGTTCAGAATAGTTAAACAAATGGATAACACCACAGGTCTTCTTGCATTCACCAATGAAAGACTTAGGAGACTACGGAAAGTCCTGAGGAACCAGAGTTAAATTTCCTTTCATTTACCTCATTTCTTATAGTCTGTGGTTTTAACCAGTCATCAAGTTTGAATGATACTAATGATTGAAATAATTTGGCATTTATCCATCAGGGAAGGAATAATTCCTCTGACTCTAAGTCTGAATATCAAATGTAAGAAAGTGTTAAATTGCAAGTGCTGGTAAAATCTGAAATCTCCCTTTTTGGTAGCTACTTTTTTTTTCCTGTATTGGTGATTGAACCCAGGGCCTTCCAACTGTATTACATCCCTAGCCCCTCCCCTTTTCTGAGACAGGGACTAGCTAAGTCATTAAGCTGCTAAGGCTGGACTCAAATTTGTGATAGTACTGCCCCAGCCTCCCAGAGTAGTGGGGTGACGGAGAATTGCTAGATTTCTAAGCAAATGAGAAAGAGTTCTACTCACTTTTGCCATTGTCCTAGAGATTCTTGGAAGTCTATAGCTAGGAATAAATTCATCCTAGAAAACTGAGGCTTTACTGAGTTTTTCCCTGAATCATAACAATCTATTTTCTTGGTGTGTACACCTTTAATTATACCAGGTGTCTACTTTTAAAGTAATTTGTACACTGAATTGGTACCATCCAGCGCTGCCATCCAGGGCTTTATATTAAGAAGCTGCCTCTATGAAGATTTAGCAGAACTTCTCAAACTGAAGTTTCACAGGTCCAAAGTAGGCTTTGCATCACAATGAGGTCATGTGTATTATTATAGAAGCTCTGCCAACCAACACAAAGACATCAGCACCTATGCACTCTGTGTATGCTTGAAATTTTTGTACCCTAGAGAAGCATCTAAATTTAACACAACAGATCTTGGTTTTTGTAATGGGGAAAGAAATAGAAACTTTTTTCTGCCATTCATATTCCTCTCGGCATCCATGAAACTTTACCCCTTTACAAGTTCCTGAAGTAGACAGGAGCCATGTAAAATATTTGTCTAAAGAAATAATTACTTTTTAAGCTAACGCTATCAGCGGTCCAAAGCTCATGGGCAGACATAGCCAGCACCACCGGCTGTGAGTGGAATAAAGGTGGATTGGAGGCAGACAAAGGTGATGAAATAATCACCCTTCTGTGTCCATAGGTCCCGCATCTGCAGGCTCAACCAGCCTCAGACCAAAATATTCAATGTGTCTATACAGACTTTTCTTTTATTATCCTCTATGCAGTGCTGTGTAATGACTTTTTATGCACCATTTACAATGTGCTAGATATTCCAAGGAATCCAGGGATTATTGAAATATGCAGGAGATACATAAAGGTTCTCTGTGCTCAGGTTACATAACAGACACAAGCATCCATAGATTCATAGTTCAAGGGGTGGACTGTCCTAATACCGATCCTGACAGACACCAAGGGCCAGGAGCCTTCTAAAAGTAAACTTGTGTATCAGTGAGACAGAGGCAGGTCTGCAGAGGTCATCCTGGGATTCTCTAGGATTCCCCACATGAGCCATCGTGTGTACCTACTGAGCTCCCCCTGAAACACCTAACAACCTTGAACACTAGAGATCAGAAATGCTAGCCCAAATCAGCCTGTCCTGGCCTTGCCTGCCATTACAGAGTAAGAGAATATAGTAAGGTGTAATCTTCTGTAGGACACTGGCTATCACCATGGCAACAACCAGCTAGGGCTTATTTTCCAGTTAGGTCTTATTTTGGGGAAGTGCTTAATAAGCTTTGTGCAAAGAGGAGCTGTAAGAACAGGGGCGGAGGTTTCTGGGATTCTCATGGGAGACAACAGCAAAACAAGTCCATCTGAAATGGAGGCTTCATTTGAGAAAACAAGAAATGTCTGAGAGTTGGGTGAAGAAAGAGGTATCGGATTATCTGAGATTAGTAATATACTTGAGTGTTCATTTCTTTCTGTACAGCCAGTGCCGATTTTCCGTATAACCCAGGACAAGGCCAAGCTATAAGAAATGGAGTCAACAGAAATTCGGCCATCATCGGAGGTAGGTGATGCATGCAACGGCCTTTCACGTGGCTGCTCACTCATGCAAAATAATGATTTTCAATCTAACAGTAGCCTGGGGGAGCAAAGAGCCATCTGTCTTCTTATGTTATTCATCTTCTTATTGAACTATGACATAAGACTGTGAAATACAGTGTCGAGAACCTGTGATTAGTGGAACCTGGCTACTTCTTAATGCTGACTTATGTGATCACAGTAAGCCAGCCAGAGTCTGAATATTTAGGTCAGCAGTACTGGCAACAGCTAGGATATTTCTTTGTCACCTCCAATTTTCACTAGCATGCTCTCATATCCCAAATGATCCAAGACAGCTACCTGTAAAAATGGGGAGGAATTTTCCAGTCTGGTCTCAGGTATCTTAGTAAATTTGTCAGAAAGTTAATTGGCCAGAACACTTGAAATATTCCAGTTTTCTCTTCTCACAAGGGACAGCTGGAAAAAAGCTTGACTCTCGCACTAGAAATCATGGATGCATGGATCAGTGCATGGATCAGTGTAGAAGCCCTACCACCCCTGGCCTTCTTCTGACCTTCTGTATAAGTTCATTTATGGATTTTTTTTTATTGATACCAGGGATCGAACTCAGGACCTTACACTTGCCAGGCAGGTGCTTGTGCCACTGAGCTATATCCCCAGTCTCTGTCTAAATTCAAAAAGATGATTCTTGCCTCTCTGAGTATAGCTAGTACTGTGAAGATAATCAAGAATTTTAAACTCAGCCCGTCGACATGGTTTGGCCCATATGTTTCTTTCTCACAGGAAGAAAGTAGATACCTCTAGGAAATATATGACTATAAAATTAAAATAGATTCATAAGATGCTTTCATCCCATTGGCCAAAGTTTGGGTCCAATTTCATGAAAGACTCAATCCTTGTTGCTTTTTGCTTTTTAAAAATCAACCTAGTTAAAACATACTATGCTCCTGTAAATGCATCAGATCAGTGACTTTGGACAAAGGCTTCACCCATGACCACCCCTACAATGTGCAGAATCTTCCCGTCATACCAGAAAGACCTCTTTTGCCCTGTGGGAGTTCATCCTACTCTTGCCTCACTCCCCGCCAAGGCAACCTTTAATTTGCTTTTTGTCACTATAGCTTAGTTCTGCCTCCTTTAGAGTTTCATAACTGGAATCATACAGTGTGTCATTGCTTGCACCCCAGTTTGCCCTACATGTTTCCCAGCTCTAGCAACTTTGATGCATCAGTGATGCATTTATTTTTCTTGCCAAGTTGCATTCCACTGAGTGATGCACTATAATTTGTTTCATCCACTTATCTGTTGATAAATTGTTGGTTTATTTCCAGATTTGGGCAATTATGAATAAAGCTGCGATGAATATTCTTGTGAAAGTCTTACGTGAACAAAAAATTTAATTACTCTTTTTAATTCCTGATGTTATAGAAAAGGGGATATCAAACTCTATTCAAAATTACCATATGGTTTTCCAAAATGATTGAACCATTTTGCATCCCACAATCCATTTCTGAGAGGTCAGGTTGGTCCACAAGCTCATCAGCTCTTGGTATTGTCAATCTTCTTGTTTAGCCATTCTTGTGGCTGAGTAGTGGTATATGTATCTCTGCACTTTTAATGCACATTATCTGATCACTGGTATTGTTGGGCATAATTTCATGTGCTTATTGCCATATGGAACTGAAGTGGCTATTTAAACCTTCCTCCATTTTTAAAATAAGATTGTTTCACTTCTTGGTAATGGATTATCAGAGTTTTTTTAATGTTCTGGCTACTAGTCTCTTGTCACACATGGATATTGTAAATATTTCCTCCCAATATTTATGATGGTTTGTTAACAAATAAACAATTTGTTTATCAACAAATTTGACTTGGGTTGTCCAGGTTATACATCCTTACTGATTTTCTGTTTTATCATACTGTTATTTACAACAGAAGAATGTCCAACTATAATTGTGAAATGGCCAAACTCTCCAAGGCTTGCAGATATTGCTTCACTTATCAAGCTATAGTTCTATCAGATGTGCACACATTTGAGGTCACGATCTCCTCGGGATGAATTGGCTATTTTGTCATTATGAAGTGTTTTGTATTGCTTCTAATAACCTTATCCTTTGCCTTTTATTAATAGAGCTACTCCGGCTTACTTATGAGTAGTGTTTGTATAAGTTCTTATCTACAAGTTCCATTATCTCTGTCATTTCTGAATACCCTTCTCATTAACAGACTTTTCTCCTAATGGAGTGACCGTTTCCTACTTTTTCATCTCTTCGCATACTTGGTGATTGTCCCACTGAGTATGGAGGTTTTACTGTCTTCCTTTAATGAGTACGGAGGTTTGTTCTGGCAAGCAATGAAGTCACTTGCAGCTTCCTATTTTTTAGTTTTCTATTAAAGTTACTTGAGGGTAAATCTCGAGTAGCCTTTACTCTTGGTCCACTTTAGCAAAACATTCTGTGAGGTCTCACCACTGTGGTTGGCTAGAATGTGAACATCTCCCAGGTCTGTGTGAGCTCTGGGAATGCTTTTGTCACTGCTCTATCATTGTTCTTTGCCTGGTCTTGTGGAATTTCATCCTGTACATGCACATTTTGGCATTCAGTCACGCATCCCAAGAGACAGATTATTAAGTTTCTTTCCATGTACAATTTTTTCTCTCTGTCTCTCTCTCCCAACCCTCCCTCCCCGGTGCTCCTTCTGGTTTAGGGAGCACACTCACTGTGGGTTTGTTTTTTTTTTTTTCTATCCTTCCCTACACTGCTGTCCAGAAATTGCTGCCAGTTAGAAAACTATGGAAAGTATACAGTTCACTATGTGTCTGTTCTACCTACTGTCCAGGGTCTTGAGGGCTGACATTTGACGTATTTTGGGCAGTATTTCAGTTCCTTGCAGCAGGAAGACGAATTGCTCCTATGGGTCCTGTTACCCATTTGGGGCCAGAAGCAGAAGGCTCCCTTCAATCTCTGCTGTCTGGGTAGTGGCTGCTGTTTTGTGTAGGAGAGAACCATGCATGAGGGAGCTGGGGGGAGTGTCCCGCCGGACATGTGCAAGACCTGTCTAATGCCTTTTCCTCCCGCTGTGCCCAGGGGTCATCGCTGTGGTGATCTTCACCATCCTGTGCACCTTGGTCTTCCTCATCCGGTACATGTTCCGTCACAAGGGCACCTACCACACCAACGAGGCCAAGGGCGCCGAGTCAGCCGAGAGCGCAGATGCCGCCATCATGAACAACGACCCCAACTTCACAGAGACCATTGACGAAAGCAAAAAGGAATGGCTCATTTGAGGGGTGGCTGCTTGTCTGTGGGATAGGGAGGGGGGCCCCAGGGAGGAGGGGAAAGGGACAAGAGCACCCTGCTTTATACTCCTGAGCACATCCTTAAAATATCAGCACAAGCTGGGGAAGGCAAGCACCAGAATATCCCTGAGACTGATCACCACACAAAAAAAGACCTTTTTAATATTTCTTTATAGCTGAGTTCCCCTCCTTCCGTATCAAAACAAAATAATACAAAACATGCTTTTAGAGTCCAAGCAATGGTTGAAATTTGTAGGTAATATCTGTCTTCTTTTGTGCGTGTTTAGAGGTGTTTGGAAAACCCGTGGTAACAGGGCAAGTTTTCTACATTTTTAAGAGCCCTTAGAATGTGGATATTTTTTCTTGAGAAAAACTGAAGCGCATCCATCCGGCCGCCAACGTTCTCATCCTTTTGCATAGGGTCAACTTTCGACAGGCTGTGGTAGTAATTAGTTTGTGTTCATAGAATATTTCTTTTGATGTCCTATAAGTTGGGAAAGAGAAGAAAGGGACAAGGAGAAACTAGCTGCCAGTTTGCAAGGAGACGTCAAGCAAGGCCTGATACCAGCTGTGGACGGAAGAGTGTGTATTAATGCCTGTCACAGCAATGTAACCAGCACAGCTGGGGAGAAGCATTAAAGGACCAGAAGTGTTTTTTATATATATATATATAT